GAGTTTTTATGGCATATCATATATTCCTTAGATTTTTCCCATCAGGTTTTTCGAGGAATTTCAGCTTACAACTGTATTGGTCTCAAGGAAGATTCGATCAAGGGGAAGTGTTGTGAAACGGTGTCTCTCAACAGACATCTGTTTACGAAGTGATCTCGTCCATCAATTACAAGATTAGTGGATAGGATTAGACAGTTAGTTTTACTCCAAAGGGCATGTCCTTTGAGAACAGTCGTGTCCCTTCGTGATACCTCTTCACTTGTATAAATATATTTCAGAGATCAATGAAAGAGATAGTTCTCCCAAATCTTGTTTATTTACATTCACGTTTTAACAGTTTTAATTTTTCTAAGCCAAGTTTCTCTTAATTTTGACACCTATAAACTAAATAAATGCACAACTAGATTGAACTTGTGGATTCATGAAAACTTTGAAGTTGTAGATCTATTTTTCTCGATTTTGTCGAAGTTAGAGAAGTGAAAATGAACTACTATTTGAAAAGAAGGGAGCGCCATATATTTATTTGTCGATATAGGACACACGTATATAATGGAATACGAGTTGAAGGTATTTTAATCTCGTGTTGATTATGGACAGGAGGAACCAAATCAGATTATCTAGGCAGAAGAAAGAAGAAACGACAATAGTCCATGTGCAGCAACCAACTCAACAATCCAAGCTTCCTGCGTCTTCTCAGAGCATCTCTTGCTTGCACTCCTTACTCCTGGCGGGCAGGAAGCCAGGAAAGTGCTCGAACAGTTTCGCTAGAAAAGGAGTTAAATCAGCATATGTAACAGTATGGGCTTCTAACAGTTAATGACACCTGAACTTGGTCACTTTCTTTAAAATGATAATCATGTTCGTTCTATTGTCTCAGTAATCACGTTCGTTCTATTGCCTCAGTTTTGTTGGCGGACCCGGTTGCTCGTAGGTGTGGTTTGTACCATGAGGAACACATCTCTTTGGCACAGATACTGGCTCTGTTCTGCTGGTGGTATTTCGGTTGATCTAATAGTATTTCTATAAGGGAGAATAAGCTAATAGTATTTTTGTAAGGGAGAATAAGCCGAAATAAGCACAAACTGGCTGAAAAGTAGCTCTATCTCTATCTCTATATTAGGCTATCTCCAACAGGGGACCCATTGTGGAACTCAAACCTAAAATGAGTCTCCAACACAATACATATAGCCTTCAACAGAGTACCTATATGGAAGACATATTTTGGGTGTCAGGAGAGACATAACCAAAATCTGAGTATCATCTCTCCTGAAGATCCATTTGCAGAAATAATTGTCTTTTATATCTTGTTGTTGGAGAATACAAAAATAGGTATGGAACCTTTTACATATAGCATTACCAAAGGATAAATGAGTCTTGTATTTTGGGTCACGGTCGTGGGAGACAGTCTTACGAAAGGAGGGCCAAGCTTGGCCACCTGATTGGGCCACGTAGCCCGTTTTCTCTCAGCCGTCAGGATTTTGATCGAGTCTACATAAACGGGCACAGAAGCTAGCGTCTCTAGATCCTTCGTCTCGAGCGATTCGCAAGCGATTCTTCGGCTCTTCGCTGCCATCACCGGCCGCCGCCTCCCTCTGTCCTTTGCTGCCTCTGCGAGACCACGACCTCTGCAAGTAGTCATCGAGGGCCGAGCGCTCCTCCGCCGGGGTTGCCGTGGGAGGGGGCCGCCGGGGCTGCCGTGGTCGAGCCCCCTGCCCGTGCCAGGGTGGCCGGGGCTGCCATGGCGTGCGTGCTCGCGGCCTATGCTCCCTTGCTATGCGCGGAATGGTGTGCTCCTGAGGAGCTGCGCCGCAACGATCGGAGCAGTGGCCTATGGGGCAGTGAACGGCGAGGCGCTCAGAGACGAGTCGACAAAGCAGTCAAGGTCGCCGCCGTATGCCCAAGTAGCAACTCAGACGCAGTTGTGCGCGTATGGAGCCTAGCGCATCATTTGCCCACCCACGGAGAGCATCTACCGTAATGGCGATGGCCCATGGCGTTGAATTTGCGGCGAGCTGCTACGCCACCGTGCCGTCTGCCACGGTCGCACAGCCAGGGACCACAGACCAGCGTTGGTACGGGACGAGACGGCTGGGGGCACAAGCAACGAGTGGAGCGTGGCCATGGCGGCATGGAGAGGGCACGCGCCCGTGCAGTGTCTTAAGCGCAGCACGCGTTGGCGCGTCCCTTGCCTTGGGCAACGACGAGGAGCCACCCCAGCCACTGCGATGAGCCCGCGGCAAGCTGCTATGCCGCCGCCACCGTGGGGATGCTCACCTGCTGCTACCGAGTACCGGCAATCAACCACAGTGATAGCAATTAACACGGATCCTAGTCGTTGCCTGCAACAACTTCGTTCTCCTCAAGGTTGTTCAAAACCAATGTTGACGATCCTTACTGGCTCCGTATTCTTTCACCTCTTTTCTAATTGCCACACTGCAGCCATGGTGTTTGATGAAATGTGCATGTCGGCAGCTTTGATGATTAGGAGGAGCACCATGATTAGATTTTTTTAATTTGCTATCACTGTGATGCAATGTTATTGTCGGGTTCATAAACCCGGGGTCCCTCATAGATCGGCTTCCCAGCAAAAACTCGGCCCAGCAGACGACATTGCGAACGACGCACAACTCCTGGGCCGGCCCAAATACCTAAACGACAGGTCAGAAGGGTGGTCCAATCTCCGACCAGAAGGCATCGCTAAGGAGGAACAACACTCGCTTCCGACTCCGGCCTGCCTCTCCGACCAAAAGGCCTGGCCAAGGAGGAACAGTGCTTCCTTCTAACTCCGGCCCGCCTCTCCAACCGAAAGACCTAGCCAAACACCGCTTCTGATTCCGACCCGTGTCTCCGACCAGGGATGCACTGAACCCCTGCTTACAACTCTTCTCTAACTAGCGCAGTCGGAGCCGACTGGGACCAACCGACCGGGGACGCCCGCTCGGTAAGGACCAGGAAACGGACGGAGCAAGTAAAACAGGACACTCAAGTCAACCGCAATACCAAGAACCGTACCTTGTACGCCTGCAGGATAGTACCAACATGACATCGGAAGAGTGCCCTACAACCTTCCAGGCATGTCAGAACCCAAGCAGTGTTGTGGGCGTCGACATTTGCCCTACAGTATTGTGGGCGCCCGTAAACTCCCATACCAGACGAACACGGTGAAACCCCTCACATGCCTCTAGGCATCAACAGTGTGGCAGGCACCGACATCTGCCATACCAAAAGAATACGACGCAACCTCCCACATGCATCTGACATTAACAGTGTTATGGGCGCCTGCAATCATCTTGTACCCAATGGCGTGGGCAACAGGACTGAGCATACGTACACACTCTCTCTCCCTCTCACTTGTAAGGCCATCCCCTTCATCTATAAAAAGGGACGCGCTCTCTCCCAAAGGGAGATCAGTCCACAATACCTCGAACAACACACACGATCCAAATGACCACGGATCCCTACGAATAACAGACGTTCGAACACTTAGCACATAGCGGAGCTCCCGTCACTCTCGGCCCTTCAGACCAGAGTCCGACCGGACCTCTTGTACCCCCCATCTTTCTCCCTTCCGTTTGTAATCCCACAGCAAACTTCGAGCACCTAGGCTCAGGAATAACGTCACCAACCGACTTAAATTGGACGTAGGGCACATTGCCTGAACCAGTATAAACCCTGTGTCATTGAGTGCTAGGCCACATCCGATCACAACGTATGGCAAAACTACAAGTATTTACGTGTTGGTCATTTTCTGCACCGATAGTTCTATTTAGTTCACTCATCACCAGAAATATGTGACAAGTAACTATGTAATGATGATTTACTTAAACCTCAGACAAACCAAGTAATTATGAAATTACCAATGGTGATTTACTTAATCTTAAAGACAAATCTCTGATGCAGAAGTAATATTCAGTGTTAGTGATCAATGTAGTATTTGCACTTGTCTAAAGTAGCTTATTGTACATGAACGATGGCTAAAGCAAATTCAGAACTTGGGCTACAAGCATTTAATTTTCTTTGATATAATCACATCCCCTAAAGTGCTACAAAGATAACCTAATGAAACTCAAGCAAAACTACAATAGCTCAGCTCAAAGATGGCGCGACAACGCCACACCCTAGCTTTCTAGTTAATCCACAAAAGCAGATCATGACGATAATGAACACATGCACGTCACCAGAACTGAGCAACCAAAGCAGGCTAAGTAAAAAGACAACATTGTTCGCTGACACCCAGTCGAACTATCGCTCACCCTCGAATCCTATTATCGCTCACTTTCGAACCCGATATCTGTTTTCTGAGACAGTGGTGTAATTTAGAGTTAAGTTTGCAAGAGAAGGTTCCCATCGACACAAGCATGGATCACACATTTGTCATCAAGGGATCAAGACCTTAGACATCACCATACGCCAAAACACATATATCTGGCCAAGACGGCCTCCAATAGTTTTGAGTGTCCAACAGATGCACACAGATAACACAAAGTGTTTGGTTTCCCTTGCTAAACTTTAGTAGCTAAACTTTAGTAGCTAAACCATGGACTAAACTTTAGTTATTGGGTGTTTGGTTTGGGTGACTAAAAGAGACCTTTTATTCCCTTTTAGTCAAGGTGTTTGGCTCTAAAGTGACTAAATGGGACTAAAAGGTAAGGTTTAGCCCCATTTAGTTCCATTTAGCTAATTGGCTAAAGCCTCTTTTAGTCCCATTTAGTTATAGTGTTTGGGTAAAAAGTGACCAAATGAGGCTAAATTTAGCCAACTAAACTTTAGCAAGGGCAACCAAACACCCCCTAAATTTCATAGCACGCAATCAGAGAAATAGCTAAGGCAAACCAAGTCAACTTGTTGTTTCACCTCAGCACAAGTTTGCAGGACTCAACATCACAAATAGGGGCTTTTTCACGTCAGCACAAGTTTGCAGGACTCGACATCACAATAGGAACACGCAACTTGGAAACACATCCCTGACATCTAAACAGAGCACACCACCCGGACAAACTTCACTGACCACCATGGAGGCGCAACACTAGGTGGAGCGTGGACTCCTCCTGGATATTGTAGTCTACAAGTGAGCGGCCATCCTCCAGCTGCTTACCAGCAAAGATGAGGCGCTGCTGGTTTGGTGGGATGCCCTCCTTGTCCTGGATCTTCGCCTTCACATTATCAATGGTGTCAGACAACTCAACCTCCAGCGTGATGGTCTTCCTAGTCAGGGTTTTCATGAAGATTTGCATACCACCACGGAGGCGGAGCACCAAGTGGAGGGTGCTCTCTTTCTGGATATTGTAGTCGGCGAGAGTGCGACCATCCTCAAGTTGCTTTCCAGCAAAGATGAGGCGCTACTGGAGACTCGACGTTCATGATCTAGGCTTCGAACTAAGACTAATTTGGACCCCCGCAACCGTTACACCACTGCTCCGTTGGTTATTAACCACGCGAACGCGATTGACCTCACCGAGAAGGCTTTCCTACAAGCGAATCGAGAACACAAGCAAGAACAGGATGAACGTAATATGAAATTGCAAATAAATATGAGGCTTATGATAACAAAAATGAGTTCAAGTCTTTATTCGAAAGGACTAATCGCCATAGGTGAACAAGATCAAGAACCGGGGCCCTAGTTCACAGCAAGCAGCCTTGGCGGCACAGTTGCAGCAAAACGACGTCTGTTTCACGAGGAAATTAAGAACTAAACAAAACCCAAACCCTAAGGAGAGCGACGGCTGCTAATTATAGTCTTGGGCATCACCCCCCTGGACACGCCCCCTAATGGGCCCAAACACGATACACGGTCCAACAGACCAAAAGACGATGTCGTAGCACCCTGGTAGATTCTGGACGCTAACTTGTTTCGACGATTCCCGTTGATTCTGAAGGTCTTTTGATGTCAGACCACTTGGATTGGCTTCCTTATCAAATTAACTTTCCAACCATATGTGGATCGTCGAAAACGGAGTCCGGATGCGCCTGTGTGATCAGTTTTATGATAGACTGGTCCTGGATCCTGAGATGGGCTCGAACTTGATTTGGGCCTCCACCTTGGTGACTCGAACTGGATGAGCTTCGAGCCTCCTTCTTGGTTAGGACACCCTCGCTGATCTCCTTGTCCTCTATCTCTAAGCATGGTCATATGCATGGAGCTCATGTCCTCATCATCCTCCCTTTCTTGATAAAAAGCCTCCTCGACGTCAATTTTGCTTGAAGTCGATCCTGCACAACATGAGGACAAACGATGTCTTCAAAATAATGGGAATGGACAATGTTGTGAGAAAGAATATAACCACATGTCCAGGTTTGTAGCATGTCTTATCCTACAGACATATAGTCTGCTCAATTGAAATACACACGATCTTTGCCAATACTATCCTACAAAAGATTAGTATTAACAAGAAACTTATGCTCTCTTTCTTTAGAATCCACTTGTGTTTGAAAAGTAAAACTAGAGGAATGTGGCATAACAACAGTGTTGATTTTAGTGTCCTCTAGTTGATCATTACTTTGCACAACAAAATGAGAATTCAAATTCGTACAAATGTAAACTCGTTGTATCAAATATTGTCCTTGGTTGTTATATTTGCCAAAAATATGATATGTATGTCTAGAGAACCATGGCAAATCAGCATACGCATAAAGTTTCTCCTCTAAAGAACTAAGATTACACAGAACATTAAATTCAATGTAACCCAAAGTATTTAAAGAAGACAATAATTTCACCTCATCAACTTCACTAGCATTATGAATAACAAGTCTATTTTCAGCACAAGTGTTCAATTTCAGCACACATATAGCATGATCATTCTTCAATGATTGCATGGGTATAACATAAATATCGTCATATAAGTCATCTTTGTCACAAGGAACATCAAACAAATCATCTTGTGACAAAGGTAAATCAAGCGAAGGCTCCACTAAAATTTGCTCTATCATAGCATGATTGGTGGAAAAATTCAGCAAATCAAGAGAACTCTCACCTTCTGTGAGTTTAGCATCATGGGCATTACCTTTGCTCTCATTTTCAGCAGGAGTAATAGTTGACGGTTCTAAATTTTCACATGAGGCTGTGAGCATCTCATTTTCTGTCACGTCATCCTTACTCTTTTGTACATTGTCCTGTAAAAGGTTAGGCATAGCATGAGGAATAACAAGAGAATGATCTAGTTGACGCACCTCATCCTTTGAATTAATTACAAGACATGGATTAACAAAATTTTCTCTCATAAGATCTTTCATATCATTCCATGTGTGAGGTTTATCTGAAAAACTTAAAGACTCCCACCAAGTTGATGCAGATTGTCTCAAAACACTAGTTGCATTTTTAATTTTCCTCCATTTGTACATATAACTTTATGCAAAAATATTATCTATTTTAGTTTCCCACTCAATATACTCATCAGCACCAATACCATCATAAGTAGGCGGGGAAGAAAGAATAGATTGACCCGCGGAGAAGGTTTTCCTGCAAGCGAATCGAGAACACAAGCAAGAACGGGATGAACGTAATCTGAAATTACAAATAAATATGAGGTTTATGATAACGAAAAGGAGTTCAAGTCTTTATTTGAAAGGACCAATCACCATAGGCGAACAAGATCAAGAATCGGGACCCTGGTTCACAGCAAGCAGCCTTGGCGGCACAGTTGTAGCAAAACGACGTCTGTTCCACGAGGAAATCAAGAACTAAACAAAACACAAACCCTAAGGAGAGCGACGTCTGCTAATTATAGAGTCTTGGGCGTCACCCCCCTGAACATGCCCCGTAATGGGCGCAAACACGATACACGGTCCAACGGACCAAAAGACGGTGTTGCAGCACCCTGACAAATTTTGGATGCTGACTTATTTCAACGATTCCCGTTGATTCTGAACATATTTTGATGTGAGACTACTTGGATTGGCTTCCTTATCAAATTAGCTTTCCAACCATATGTGGATCATTGAAACCAGATGCGCCTGTGTGATCAGTTTTATGACAGACTGGTCCTGGACCTCGAGATGGGCTCGAACTTGATTTGGGCCTCCACCTTGGTGACTCGAGCCGGATGAGCTTTGAGCCTCCTTCTCAGTTAGGACACCCTCGCTGATCTTCTTGTCCTCTATCTCTAAGCATGGTCGTATGCATGGAGCTCATGTCCTCATCAGCTGGTCTGGTGGGATGCCCTCCTTGTCTTGAATCTTTGCCTTCACATTATCGATCGTGTCAGAAGACTCGACTTCAAGCATGATGGTCTTGCCAGTCAAGTCTTGACAAAGATTTGCATGCCTCCCCTTAGCCTGAGCATGAGGTGAAGGGTGGACTATTTCTGAATGTTGTAGTTAGCCAAGGTGCGACCATCGTCAAGCTGCTTCCCCGCGAAGATGAGGCGCTGCTGGTCTGGTGGAATGTCCTCCTTGTCTTGAATCTTTGCCTTCACATTGTCGATCGTGTCCAGGGACTCGACCTCTAGCGTGATGGTCTTTCCATTCAAGGTCTTGACAAAGATCTGCATGCCTCCCCTGAGGTGAAGGACAAGGTGGAGGGTGGACTCCTTCTGAATATTGTAGTCAGCCAAGGTACGACCATCCTCAAGCTGCATGCCAGCGAAGATTAACCGCTGCTGGTCTAGAGGGATTCCTTCTTTGTCCTGAATCTTTGCCTTGACATTGTCGATTATATCAGAGGACTCAACCTCAAGAGTGATGGTCTTCTCGGTGAGAGTCTTGACAAAGATCTGCATGCCACCTCTAAGCCTGAGCACGAGGTAGAGGGTAGACTCCTTCTGGATGTGAAAGCTCTAGTTTGGTTTTGGTGAATTGATGAAACCCTAAGTGCTAATCTAGTTTATCAAGTGATCATGAGATAGGTAGCACACTCCAAGTGGTGAAGCAAATAAAGATCATAGCATGATAAAGATGATGGCGTGGTGATGATCAAGTGCTTCGACTTGGAAAAGAAGAAAGAGAAAAACAAAAAACTCAAGGCAAAGGTATAATTTGTAAGAGCTATTTTGTTTTGGTGATCAAGACACTTAGAGAGTGTGATCACATTTAGAATTGATAGCCGTACTATTAAGACGGGTAAAACTCATATCGGAATGCGGTTATCAAAGTGCCACTAGATGCTCTAACTCATTGCATATGCATTTAGGATCTAGTGGAGTGCTAACATCCTTGAAAATGTTTGTGAAAATATGCTAACACATGTGCACAAGGTGATACACTTGGTGGTTGGCACATTTGATCAAGGGTGGTGAAGTTTAGGAGCAAGGGTAAGAAACTCCACCGGCGGAGTATCCGCCCATAGAGTGCGGACAGTCCGACGGTGACACCGACGCCCTAGACAGAAAAGACGGAGGTCACTGTAAGTGACCGGACGCTGGGTCGCTCAGCGACCGGACGCTGGCAGGGTGCGTCCGGTCAGTGCTGACGTAGGGCGTACTGAGGAGACGTTGTGTGATCGGACGCTGGCTATGTTCGATCAAGCATGACCGAACGCGTCCGGTCGGGAAAAATCATGTTTGGAACCTTACTGGAAACGACCGAACGCTGAAGTCCAGCGTCCGGTCACTTACTAACTGACGTGTCCTGTCAGCAGACGACCGTTGAAATCTGACGAACAGTATTTGAAGCAGGGGACACATGGCGTGAATCACGTGACCGGACGCTGAGGGCTAGCGTCCGGTCGATCGGACCGGAGCGTCCGGTCACCCCATGTTGTGCCCAGTGAAGGGGTACAACGGCTCTATTTCGTGGGGGCTTCTAGTTAAGCCCCATGGCCAGCTCAAGCTCATGTTCTTGGCCATTTGCATTGGCATAGTAACCTTGTGAGCTTAGACAAAGCCCTCTCACTCATCTCCATCATTGATTCATCATCATAGTGAGATTGGAAGTGATCCAAGTGCATTGCTTGAGTGTTTGCATCTAGAGGCACTTGGTGTTCGTGTTTCGCTGCGGGATTCGCTTGTTACTCTTGGTGGTTGCCGCCACCTAGACGTCTTGGAGCAGCGAGGATCGTCGAGCGGAGGGTGGTGATTGTCTCCGGCTCCGATCGTGGTGATTGTGAGGGGTTCTTGACCTTTCCCCGGTGGAGCGCCAAAAGGTACTCTAGTGGATTGCTCATGGCTTGTGTGATCCTCATCTTGTGTTGGTTGTGCGGCACTCTATTGAGGGTTTGGCGTGTGATGCCAATTAGCGCGTGAACCTCCAAGTGAGTGAATCGCCACAACGAGGAGTAGCTTGCCGGCAAGCAAGTGAACCTCGGTAAAAATCATTGTGTTCATCATTTGATTCTGAGGTGATTGGTTTTCATTGGTTTTCATACTTGTGATTGATTGGTTCATACATCTACACGGCGGTATAACCTTCTTGCCTACTCATTACATTATCGTAAACTAGTTGTTAAGCTCTTTAGTGTAACTAGTTGTGAGAGCTTGTTAGTTTGGTTAGTGTGGCTCTTTAGTTAGCTTTTGAGAGCACACTAACTTAGTGTAGTGATATAGCTATTGTGTGGATATACTTCATCTAAACTAGAATTGTGATAGGTGGCTTGCATTTTGGTAGGCTAGCGCAAAACTCGCTTCGCCTCATAATTGTCTAATCCTTTTGTTAAGTGTTGTTGTAGAAATTTTATTAGGCTATTCACCCCCCTCTAGCCATTAGGACCTTTCAAGTGGTATCAGAGCCGAGGTCACCGTGATTTGAGGTTTAACAACCTACGGTGTAAAAATGGCTCAAATCAACAACACCAAGAAGCCACCCCAATTTGATGGCACAAATTATCCTTATTAGAAGTCAAAAATGACTACACATATCAAGTCAATCAATAGAAAGGTGTGGAAGGTGGTAGAAACCAAAATTGAGATTGAGGATCCGGAGAATCCCACCGCGGCCGAAGAAGTGCTTCTCCAAAACAATGATATTGCTCTAAGTGTCATTCATGATGTAATTGATGAGAGAACATTTGAGCAAATCAAGAATATTGAGATGGCTCATGAGGCTTGTAAGAAGTTGGAAGAATCATTTGAGGGCACTCAAGCCGTGAAGGGTGCAAAGGCATACATTCTCAAAGAAAAGTTTGCAAGCTTCAAGATGAAGGGGGATGAGAGTGTGCCGGAGATGTTTCATAGGATTCAAGTGCTTGTCAATGATCTCAAAGCACTTGGAGAAGAGGTGAAGGACAAGGACTTCTCCCACAAGTTCTTGAGATGCTTACATTCAAGATTTGGCACATTGGTCACTATTCTAGTGAGAAGTGGTTTAGACACCATGACACCAAACCAAGTGTTGGGAGATATAATGACCGACGATACATATAGAGATGATGATGAGAAGGAAGAAAAGAAGGAGAAGAAAGATGAGAAGAAGGATGAGAAGAAGAAGAGCGTGGCATTCAAAGCCACATCATCCAAGGGCAAAGCCAAGCAAGAAACATCAAGTGAAGAGGATGATTCATGGGATGATGATGATGATGAGAAGATGGCTCTCTTTGTCAAGAGATTTGGTAAGTTCATGGTGAAGAAGGGCTATTGTGCTAGAAAAAACAAGTCTTCATCCAAGAACAAGAAAGAGTCAAGAAGATGCTTCAAGTATGGAAACAAAGATCATCTTGTTGCTCAATGTCCATACAATAGTGACAATGATGATGACAACAAGAAGAACAAGAAGAAGGACAAGAAGGAAAAGAAAGAGAAGAAGGATAAGATGGCCTTCAAGAAGAAGAAGGGTGGTTCATATGTGGTCACTTGGGATAGTGATGCTTCCTCAAGTGATGATGATGATGATGATAGTGATGATCACAAGACCACCAAGAAGAAGGTTCTAGCAAGCATTGCCATCAATGAAAAGCCTTCTTTCTTCGACTCTTCATCATGCTTCATGGCTAAGGCCACTAAGGTACAAACTTGTGATGATGAAAGTGATGAAGAACATGATGATGATAATGAAAATGAAAAAGAAAATGATAGTGATAGTGATGATGATGAACCTACTAAGGATGAATTAATTGACATACTAGAAGATGCTAGAGAACACTTTGACATCAAGAGAAGGGAATGCAAAAGCTTGCGTAAGGAACTAAAAGCCCTTAAGCAAGCCTTTGATGAGCTCAATGCATCTCATGAGAGGCTAGAGGAAGCCAATGAGAAGCTTGGCAAAGCTCACAAAAAGCTTGAAAAGGCTCATTCCTCTTTGCTTGATGAGCAAAATAAAAAGAAGCATGTTGATACTTGTGATGTAGGTTTAATTTGTGACATAATTGATGAATCACTATTTATACTTATCATTGTTGCTCCTACTAACCCTTCTTGTAGTACTTCCACTTTCACCTCATCTAGTGGTGATGGTCTCACTTGTGATGCCTCACTAATGGTTGAGAATGAGAATATCAAGAAGGAGGTTAATAAGCTCACTCACACTTTGGCTAAGGCCTATGGTGATGAGGACCGCTTGCTTATGTGCTTGGGTAGCCAAAGAGCTTCTCTCTACAAAGAGGGATTAGGCTATAACCCCAAAAAGGCAAGGCGGCCTTTGCTCCTCACAAGACTAGTTTTGTGAAGAACAATGGTCGGTTTTGCACTAGTTGCAAGCAAGTTGGTCATGTAGAGCATGAATGCACCAACAAGAGCAAAAATACTAATATATCCTCTTTTAAGCTTGATTCATGCTATATACTTACTAAGGGTACAAATGGTGTGAAGGCTAAGTTCATTGGTAAACCATGGATGGGCTCAAAGAAGAAAGTCATTTGGGTACCAAAGAGCCTAGTGACTAACCTTCAAGGACCCAATCAAGTTTGGGTACCTAAAAGGAATTGATCTTCTTTTGTAGGTCAATTATAAAGCCGGAGGAAGGCATTGGGTTCTTGATAGTGGGTGCACTCAACACATGACCTGTGATGCAAGAATGTTCAACTCAATCAACACCAATGACAATGATGGTTATGATAGTATCACATTTGGTGACAATGGCAAAGGCAAGGTCAAAGGACTTGGTAAGATTGCAATATCCAATGACATGAGTATTTCTAGTGTGTTGCTAGTAGAGAGCTTGAATTTCAATTTGCTATCCGTGGCTCAATTGTGTGATCTTGTATTCAAATGCATATTTGGAGTAGATGATGTAGAGATCATAAGTGTAGATGGCTCTAACTTGATCTTCAAAGGCTTTAGATATGAGAATCTATACTTGGTTGATTTCAATGCTAGTGAAGCTAAATTATCTACTTGCTTGTTCACTAAGTCAAGCATGGGTTGGTTATGGCATAAAAGGCTTGGTCATGTTGGAATGAAACAATTGAATAGATTGGTTAAGCATGACTTGGTTAGAGGCTTGAAAGATGTTGTGTTTAAAAAGGATAAGCTTTGTAGCTCTTGTCAAGTCGGAAAACAAGTTGGAAACACCCATCCTAAGAAAAGCATGATGAGCACTAGTAAAGCATTTGAGTTATTGCACATGGATTTGTTTGGGCCAACACAATACACTAGCATTGGTGGTAACAAATATGGCTTTGTGATAGTGGATGACTATACTAGATACACATGGGTATTCTTTCTAGTGGACAAAAGTGATGTGTTTGCAACATTCAAATCATTTGTCAAAAGCATTCACAATGAGTTTGAAACAACCATCAAGAGAGTTAGAAGTGACAATGGTAGTAAGTTAAAGAACACTAGAATTGATGAGTTATGTGATGAATATGGAATTAGACATCAATTCTCGGCCAAGTACACTCCACAATCAA